CAAACTCCCCAATGTAGTGAACTAATTCATCCAATTTCTTTGTAAAGCAAAAATCCTTGAGGAAAAATCTATACTCAAGAATGAGATCTATCCCAACTCAATCTCCCGCATCAACTGTGCTAGACTCAGCAGTCAACATTTATTTAAATGGATAAGGCTGGGGAGACGCTGGAAGCAGAGGAACTGAGTTTCATGCCAAGAACCATGTTTTAAATATAAATACACTGGTGTGAGATCCTGTCTCAAAAAACAAACAACGAAGCAGACAGAGCCTAAGGAACGCACCTGAGCCTGCTCTCTAGACCCCACATGCTGGTCCACACACACATTTACAGGCACTACAGCACACACGTGCAGCCACACACACCAACACACACACATATATATTTAAGTGGGATATATTTGAAATTCAATCATTCTACACTTACCCGATAAGTTCATTTTCCAGGGCACCACCCTCCATGGAGCTGATTCCTCATTGTTTAAATAGAAACAGAGCCTTCCAGGAGAGGCCGCCCACACACCTCCACTCCCGATACCCCCCAACCTTACAAAGCTGAAGACGGCACTCGGAATATCTGTGCTCAGCTTCACCATCCTCCCCATGATCACAGAGGCTTTTTCAGCACTGTATAGTTCTCTGCTTGCTAATTTACATGCTGCCTTCTTCCAAAAAGTGACTCACACTCATCATAAGATCAAGATAAGCAGATGGGGCAAAGCATACTGTCATAAACGACGATCAGGAAATAAGAAGCGAGACTGAACAATTTAAGAATCCTGGTAGTTCCACCTGTCAGAGCGGCGAGGGTCAAAGGTCTCTCAGGAGTTTGAAACCATCAGCTTGGTACCAATTAAAAACCTTAAAAAAGCCGCTGGCAGCGGTAGCACATGCCTTTAATCCCAGCACTCAGAAGGCAAAGGCAAGTGGATCTCTGTGAATTTGAGGCCAGCCTGGGCTACAGAGAGAGTTCCAGGACACCCACAGCTACATAGAGAGACCCTGTCTCAAAAAAAAAAAATTGAAATGGTGATGCATGCCTTTAAAATGGCACTCAGAGCCGGGCGGTGGTGGCGCACGCCTTTAATCCCAGCACTCGGGAGGCAGAGCCAGGCGGATCTCTGTGAGTTCGAGGCCAGCCTGGGCTACCAAGTGAGTTCCAGGAAAGGCGCAAAGCTACACAGAGAAACCCTGTCTCGAAAAACCAAAAAAAAAAAAAAAAAAAAAAATGGCACTCAGGAGGCTGAGGCAGTTGGGTCTGTGAGAAATGACCTGGTTTACAAAGCAAGTGCCAGGCCAGACAGACAGACCCTGTCTCAAAACATCACAAATGCACACACACACAAACACACACATGCATGCACACTCTTATGCTGTTACTCAGGAAAGCACAACCACTCAGAATACGGGGAGAAAGAAATTCTTTCAGGGCTTGCCATAAAAAGGACACCAAAAAACAGAAAAACAAACAAACAAACCCCCAAACCCAGCAACAAAGCAATCACTTACAATTAGCACTTAACTTAGGATGCAGACAGTGTCCTAAGAGCCTTGGACAAGTCACTCATTTACTTCCCCGTGGTAAGTGCCATTTTAGTAAGTACCTGTATTCAGCAGAGGAGAATGAGGAGCAGGGAGATGAGGTGAACTGCCCACATCTAGTAATGCACAGCTAGTAATGGATTTGGGTCTTAAAAACTGAAGGCTGGCTCCAGAATCACAGCCTTTAAAAATTATATTTTATTAATGTATATATGCATGTGTGTCTATGTACAAGCATGCACATGTGTATGTGGATGTTTAACTAGGCCAGAAGAGGCCTCAGAGTCCCTAGAGTTGGAGTTACGGTGAGTTGTGAGCCACAGGATGGGTGCTAAGAACCAGACTCTGGTCCTCTGCGAGAACAGCAAGCACTTTTAACCACTGAGCCACTGCTGGGGGATGTCTCTCTGTATGCTGTGAATATGTGTTGCTCTCATTGGTTGATAAATAACGCTGTTTGGCCAATGGCAAAGCAGAATAAGGTTAGGCGGGACATTCAAACAGAAGATGGAGATGAAGAAGGGTGGAGTGAGGAGAGATGACAACCCACCACCCAAGGAGCAACAAGATGCCAGCAGACCGGTAACGCCATGGCCACATGGCAACATATAAATAGAAACGGGTTAACTTAAGATGAAAGAGCTAGCTAGCAAGAAGCCCGAGCCATAGGCCATACAGTTTGTAATTAATATAAGTCTCTACATGTTTACTTGGGACCAACCGAGCAGATGTGGAACCGGGCGGGACACCGGAAAATTTCCATCTTCATCTCTGTAGCATCACCTTGATGCACTACCCTGCCTCTCACTGACCCTCAAGCAAATCAGACTTGTCACCACCCATCCTTACAGTGAGCATCACTTTCAGTGTGCTTCACTACAGATGGGAGAAAGCGCAACTTGGCTCAGAGGAAGAAATTTCACTGAGACCAAAATGAGGCTGTGCAGGCATGAGGCTCTCTGGCTGTTGGGCAGATACCAGGGATACCTAGTCTCTAGGATTAGGGGCCCTCAGGTCTTCAGCCAATCCCAACACAAACAGCATACGCCCTCCAACAAGGTTTGGTGTGCACTGAGTGGTTAGGGTGAGGTGGCATTCTAAGGTAGGGAAGTTCAGCTGTCACCTGCTGACACTTCAGGCAGAGTCACAAGCTGGAGGCATCACCAGAGTTACACCCTCCCTGGCAAGGACCCACATGGTCTAAAGCTTAGGTCAGGCTGCCTTTACATGGAGGTGACACAAGGGAGTGCCCACGGGCAGGGCTTGCTGGGGTGCTGCGGGCTAACATGGGGCATTTATAGATGACTCACTGAGACCCAGGAGAATACAAGCAAGAGCCACACAAGACCTGGATGGCAATGTCCCAGGAGGCCTCCACGGCCAGAGTGAGGTGAAGCTTGAGAAGGACAAAGGGAAAAGTGAACAGGTGTAACAGAGGAAGTATGTGGTGGTGGGTGGTCCCACCGTGGAGACCTCTGTATGGGTTCTGCATTTGAGTCTGAGCTACTGGAAGGTCCTAAGCAGAGGAATACCATGGCCTGACTTTCATTTCCAAAGACTGGCTCTGCCTGACGTGTGTGAAGGGGATCTGGGAGCACGGACAGAGCTGGAAGCCCACTGGGGTCTTTGAACTCAGCAGCATCTTGATGGCCAGCCGTGGCTCACATGGTACAGGAACAGTGTGTCAGAAACCCAGGCTCTGAGGTCTGACAACACGAGAGGCAGGTTACTACTGTCCTGTGCAATCAAAGGAAAAGGAAAAGCAGGCGGGGTCTCTTCAAGCCAGGCAAACCAAACACAAGTCCCTGAAGCCCAAGGAGCACAAGCCTGCAGCACGAGGTGGGAGCTGACCCTGGGTGGCCCAGCTAAGGTCCTAGGCTGCTTGCTGACTCTGAGTGGGTGATGGGGCAGAGAACAGCAATGAGCTAGTCCTTCTAATCTGCTATTCTCCAAAGGACATTTCAAAATGCAGCAGAGCTTAAAATATTCAACAGTTAATATAGCACCACTTACAGTCCGTACCAAATATAACCTGACTTCCAAGCTGCTCTGACATCTCACATGACGCTCTCCCTTCTTCCTCCTGAGTCTTCCGAGCGCTAATCACATAAGCCCCTCCACAAAATGCATCCCCTCCCTGGGCTCCTGCAGATCCAATCCCAAGGTGCATACAGCGCACCGACACCCCCTGCTCACACGGCAGCTTCTCCCTGGCGCTGAAGCGCCCCTGCCTTTCTGTGTGCCTCGCCCGACTGAGCAACCGCCAGCAAGGCTCACACAAATTCTCACACACACTTGTCCCCACTCGTTTCGACAAAAACTGTGGTGGCAACAGAAGGGAAAATGGCAAGGCATCCTGAGGGAGGGGGTGACCAATATGTGCTTCCTCACAGCCTGCTGTGGAAGAGGAGGTCACCGAGAGGCACACCCATCTGTGACTCGACGGCTCTTCAAGCACAGACAGAACACAGAAGCACCGGGTCAAACTCAGCTCTTTCTCACGACCCTTCACTCATAAACATTAGAGTTGAGTTTTAAGAAAATAATATTATAAATATTTGCCTCATGTCCAGTACAGTTTTCTTTCATGATCCCTTTACATTCCCTGAATGAGAGCACTGACCACAGCCATTAGTGAGACAAGCCAAGTAAAAGGCTAAGAAATAAAGAGGCTGAATAATTCACCATTACTAGGAAAGGGGGTCACATGTGATTGTCTCAATGTGCACTTTGCTACATATCATTGCTAAGACTATTCCAGGACCCAGAAGCCCATAAAACTGCCTTAGAGAACTAGTCTCATAAACACCATCTCCCCTGGCTGTGCTTGTCTTCATTAATACACAGCATCCTCACACACCCAAACAGGTGCTTCAGATTTTAAATCTAAGATCACTGGCTACTCATTTATAGAGACAATATGCACATTTATACATATACACACACATAAGCATACTCAAATAGACAAGAGCTGCTTTGCAGCTAAAGACTAGCTTTAGGCTAACACCATTAAGCACTTGTTAATTAAATGACGGTATTTTACCAGGCAGGAGGAGATCAATAGTTCTGAGTCTTCTTTTGACCAACTGTATGCTGTGTATTCAAGGGCATTACTTTCTCCTTGCTGCTTGCACATGTACGAACAGTTTCTCTCAAAAACGGTGCGGATGCCTTTGAAGAGAATCACACTGGTCGTGCAACCCATCCCCAAGGTGTGGACGTTCAGATTTCTAGAAATCTCTACTCCATCTCCACATCAGCTTCCTTGGCTCTTCAGACACAGGCTCCCACTCTACCATCTTCATGACAAGCAGTTACCGGCACCGAACAGAAGGGAAGTGCCAAACTGTCACACTAGAATCCGGTCCTGCCCAACAGCCTGACAGGAAAAAAAAAAAAAACCCAGGCTCCCCGTGTAAGACACGAAGGTGGGTGGCGCAAAAGCAAGATGACACACCTCAGATGTGCCAAGACCGTGAGAGTACCGTTGTTCTCCGGTGAGCTGCTCCCCTGCTACACAGAGAACACATGTGCAGAAGATTAACCTGGGGCTGGTGGGAAGTGCTGGCTCCTCCGATTTGCCGGGGATTGCTCTGAGCCTCACAACCTGCCCAAAATGAAAGAGACAGTGCCAGACAGCCACCCTGCTGCAGATGCGGCTGAAGGCACAAAGGATCCTGTGCTGTGGGAAGTCACTCTCCCAGAATGCTGCGCCCAGCATCTCTATTAGCAAACATCGCTCTCCTTGACCCAAATATGCTGCCTGCTTAATCTTGCATCAATGAGGAAACACTGAAGCCAAGGGGAAGAGGGAGACGGTCTAAAAAACAAGTGGAAATGCTGAGATGACTGCTGCTATGGAAACACATGTAAGCAAGCTTCAAACAACCTTTTACGCGTACGGCTAACAGCCTGCTGCAGCCAAGCACAGGAGAACACTCACGGCTGCGTGATCCTGACTTCTGCCCACCTCCGCTCTCCACTGGAGAGGGCTAAGCAAGTGTGCGCTGCTTAGATGGATTCCCCTACCCCTGGTATCAAGGATACAAATGAGAACACAGGCAGAGAGTTGCCCCATCTGGCTGGCCATGTGCCTCTAAAGCAGCACTCTATAGTCTGCAAAGGCAGGTACTGCCTCGGTCACATTCACAATCAGTGTTAGTACTTTTGATCCACAATACAGGTCCTTCCACCACAGATCAACTCAATGACACTACAGTACATCATGTGACTCTTCGGGAAGGGCTAGTAGCTAAGCTCTCCACTGACAGAATACTAAGTCGACTCCTGCCATTCCCTGTGGGGAAGGCCCTCCCACTTACAACACTCATCTAGAAAATGGTCGCCATTCTTTTAAGAGCTGTGCAATATTCCTGACCTAGACAACCATTTCCATCTATAGATTTCAAAGCTAACCGATACTGAAGTGGAACAGTTGAGTACCTGGGGAAAGGAACAGAGAGCCATGTGATGGAGTAAGGGGAGTTACAGTGAACACTGTCTTGTCACGTGATCCCCAAACACCTACACATCTTGTTGAGCCACCAGGTTGGCTCAGAAAAGCAAAACCCTGCGCTTGCTCCCTCTCTGGCATTCGTATAAAAATGCATCTAAATAGTCACATAAGGCTAATGAGGTATGGCCATGTGCACAGAACAAGGGCTCTGTGGGATCTAGACTGGCGTGCCAACCAGGAGCTGACGGGATGCTCAGCAGACAGAAGTGCTTTGCCACGAAGGCATAAGGAAGGAGTTCAGATCCCAGAGCCAGTGTAAAGGCTGAACAGTGGCCACATGTATCCCAGCACTCAGGAGGCAGACAGGGGTCCCAGGGTAGAAAGGCCACTGCATGTAGCTGTGAAGCTAAAGCCTGCATTGCTTTGGAGAGCCCAAGATGTTGGAGATGCCAGAGTCGTGGGATAACTCCCAAGAGCTGCTAACCTGGAGTGGAACCAGCCCAAGAGAAAGAAGTGTGTTGCAATCAACAAATCTGAACAGAATTGAAGACCTGGAGAGAGTTTGACATAGGGGTGGAGATGCAGAGTTTGGAGTCTGCCCAACTGGCTTTTGGTCTTGCTTTGGTCCAGTATTTCCTTGCCATGCTCCCTTCCCTGTGTTTTGGAATGGTAATGTATATCTTGTGACATTTTAAGTTGGAAGTATGTGATCTGCTTTTTGATTTTGATTTTTACAGGTGATTACAGTTAAGAGATTGCTATGCGTCTCAGAAGAGACTTTGGACGCTGAAATAAGTTTGAGATTGTTACAGACTATGGGGACTTTTGAAGTTGGACTGAATGCATTTTTGCATTATGATGTGGCTATAAGCCTTTAGGGGCCAGGGAGTGGAATGTGCTGGTTTGAAAGAAAATGGCCCTTAAAGGGAGTGGCACTATTAGGAGGTGTGGCCTTGCCGGAAGAGGTGTGTCACTGTCCGGGCGGGCTTTGAGGTCTTTTGGGTAGCCGCTCACCCCACAGAGGCTGGGCAGGAGGATCGTGACGTGGAACCCCCCTGAGCTACCCTGAGATAGAAGGGAGGAAGGAAAGAGGGGCGGGACTAATGCTTACCCACCTAGGGCCGGGGAGCTGTGCTGACGGCCATGTGGCTGGCATTCCGTAGAGTAATGAAAATGTCCCAAACTGGAGTAGTACCAATACATAAGCCATCCTACACGTGACCCACCGTCTGTGTCTTTCCTAACAAGTAACTCACACTAAGGATGACTCTGCACTGAGTGCAAGCACGTCTGAACTCCGTTTCTGTTCCGTGTCCCATCTGGGCAGGTGAATCCTTGATACCAATAAGAAGCTAAACAGCTTAAGTACCCCCAGACCCCAGATGGCTACCAAAAGATCCCAAGCCAGCGTCCTGTCCCTCACCTACCCCAGAACCCCTTCGGGAGCTGCCCTGTTTTCTCCCCCCAAGAAAGATTCATTAAGAAAATTTTTAATTAAAAAAATTTCTTATGGGCTGGAGAGATGGCTCAGAGGTTAAGAGCACCGGCTGCTCTTCCAGAGGACCGAGGTTCAACTCCCGGCAACCACATGGCAGCTCACAACTGCCTGTAACTCCAGTTCCAGGGGATCTGACACTCTCACACCAATGCACATAAAATAAAGTTAAATAATTTTTTTTAATTTCTTACATACAGTATATTTTGATCACATTCTTTCCCCTCCCCCACTCCTCCCAGATCCTCCCCACCTCCCTCCCTCTCCACCCAACTTCATGTTTTCTCTCCCTTGCTCTCAAATAAATAAATAAATAAATAGAGGTCAAATAAACAAAACACCAGTAAGACAAAAATAAAATTAAAAAGCACAAATAAAAAACAGAGGCTCATTTTGTGTTGACCAACTATTCCTGGGCATGGGGCCTGGCTTTGGAGTGGGGTTGATGTACCTTAGGTCGTCTTCTGCCACCCTCTGGAGGGAGGTGGTGTGCTCACTGGGGGATGGTTAGGTGGGGCGTTTGTCCTCTTCCTGCAGAGTGACTCTCAGAGTGGGTTGTGTCCTAAGAAAGCTGCTACTGAAATGAAGCGGGAAGGCCGACACCGTCTCTGTCCACTCCGTAAGCTGCCAGGCTCGAATCAGGTAGCAGGACAGCCCTAACCAAGACATTTTCACAAGCACGGCTGGCACCTCCTGCCCTACACCCCACAGGGTTTGCTGTGATTCAGCGCTGCTCATTTCCCTAGTGACTTGAACGGGTTGTGGATGCTGCTCAGGGTCAGGGGCTCTGTGACCAACAAGCCACCAGAAAGCTCTATGGACTGTTGGTTCAGGCCCAGCTCTGCTGGCCTCTTGGGTGGGCCCAGAAAAGCGCTAGAGCACCGCCAGGGCCCACAGCAGGCATGTCCTAAGTACAGAGCCCCCTCAAGCTGATCGTCGGGAGCCATGGTTCCCATCTGCAGCGTCTCCTTGCCAGCGGCTTCTGTTTTAAATGTCTTCTAAAAGTCAAATCCATTTTCTTGGAAGATTTCCTTATTACTCTCCTAGGAACTCTTAGAGAAAGAACCTGAGGGGAAATCTCAGATTTTCACACGGAGACATCTTCTGCTTAGACTAGACCTCTTGTCCATTTTGGAGACGAGGAAGCCTAGGTGGAGTTCTGTCAAATCCCGTCTTGTAAACAACACAGATCATTTTAAAATGAAGACCTGTGAAGAGGTCCCAACACCCATGAAAACTAAGGACACTGTACTAAGTGAGATAACAGACACAGGAGTGCAGGGCTCTGCTCACATGAGGGACCGATGAGTGAAATGTACGGCTAAGACGATCCTGAAGAAAACCAAGGAAAGAAAACTGAATGGGCACCGCTTTCCTATCTCTCTGAACAAGTGCATGTAAGAACAGAAAACCCAGAAGGTAACTAGTCTTCTCCGGTCCGCTCTCCCATGGTGCCTCAGTCCCTCATAAAGGGCAGAGAAGCTGGGGAAACAAGCTTCATGATGTTTATTCCCTGTTTCCCCTCGGTCCTGGCCTCCTGGGAACAACCCTTTGAACAAGCATCATCGTAGAAAAAAGGGAGCTGAGATTTCAAGTCCTGACTCACGGACAACTCCAGCCACTTTCATTGAGAGCTATAAAAAATGAAGCAACCGAGTTCTATGGATCCATTAACCCCTCAGCTCTAGGAGATGCCAGGAGCAGCCAGACTTCAATTACTGTTATGAGAGGTCGCAGAGCAAAACCCATGGCTGCTGAGGGAGCTCAGATCTTTATAGAGAAACCAATAAATTCAGAAATGCTGACCCTGTGTCAACTGCAAGATGCTGCCACAGGAGCTCGCTCATTGGCCTCAGCGCCTCTCCGAACACTCGGAAGCGAGGTGCCAGAGGAGGGAGGTGGGCTACACAAAGGATCGAAGCCAGGCAGGGAGCACCAAGTGTCCAGCTGTAAGGGAGACCGAATGAAAAATAGAGCAGCAGAGTAAACGCGAAGGGACATAATGCAATCAGCACCAGCCAGACTCATCTTGGCCTCCACTGGCCTCTCTGAAGGATTCTCTTTTGGGCAGACATCTGAAAAGGTCACGCTGAAGCAAAGCATGATGAACTTGAACAACAAAATGCAGCCAAGTGAGCACATGCAAACGCACCCTCCAAACAGTGTGTGTTCACATACAGAGTCATGGCTGCGAGAAGTCAGGACGCGGTAAACACAGACTAAAATCAGATCCTACACACTTGGGCTACCTTTTTTTTTTCCCTAGTTTTTTGAGACAGGGTTTCTCTGTAGTTTTGGCACCTTTCCTGGAACTCACTCTGTAGCCCAGGCTGGCCTCGAACTCACAGAGATCAGCCTGCCTCTGCCTCCCAAGTGCTGGGATTAAAGGCGTGCGCCGCCGCCGCCGCCGCCGCCGCCGCCGCCGCCGCCGCCGCCGCCACCACCACCACCACCACCACCAGCTGGCCTTCAGCTACTTCTTTAGCAGCTGACCAGCTTCAATCTTACACTGTCTCTGCATAGAAACACTGTGATCACTTTTGTTTAAAAAAAAAGTGAGCCCAAACCAAGCTAAAAACATTCATAACATCTTTAAAATCATTTTAAATGGGGGCAGGACAGGTGGCTCGGTGGTTAAGGGAACTGGCTGCGCTTCTGGAGGACCCAGGTTCAATTCCCAGCCGCCACATGGTGGTTCACAACCATCTGAAAACCCCCGTTCCAGAGGACCCATCAATGCCTTCCTCTGAATTCTGTGGGCAAGGTGGCAGGTACACAGTGCATACATGGGCGTGCAGGCAAAGCACACACACAATATGTAAATCTGTTAACGATTTAAATACCGAAACAACTTTTAAAAACCTTTTCGCATCTTAT